TTCGTTCATTTTATCTTTCAACTGTGGATATTATTTAATGGTGACATGCCAATCTTTCGATAGGCCGATTTATAGACTTTAGCGTTGAACTTTATTATGACAGACTTTCCAGTTTGTTAATGAAATTAGTCAATTATACAGCTTGCACCCGTGGAAACGCTTTTAACGTGGTTTATTTTGAAAACTTTTATCGCAGTACGCCTTTCTGTATTATAGCAAGGATTTGTTCATTCGGGATTGAGCACTTTTAAAATAGCTGGCTATAAAAGAAAAAAGAAAATAATAATTTAACTAATGTGAACCAGCTTCAAATAAACTTAGCGTTTAATAAAACTTATGTAAAATCGGAATTTAAGCCCAGTTAAAACGACAGTCGGAATTTTCCCCCGTACAGCAAACTTTTAAGAAAAAACTTTACCTCTGTTTTAGCTTATGGATAATAACTTCAATGGTATGTATATTTTTTTTGTATTAACTTGAAGTGATGACTTAGCCAAAAAAGCACGCTCCGTTAGATTGTCAACCAACAAGATACTTTGGAAGAAATTGTGCCGCAGTGTATGACAGTAAAATTTTGCGCCTGGAATAAATCCAAATAATCTCTTGGAGCTAATAGACAGTACAATTCTATTTTCAGAATATTATGTGTTTTGATCATTTTGAACACCTCATTTTTTTATAGAATAGAGGGCAAACGAGCATGCGGCTCACCTGATGGTAAGTGACTACCGCCGCCCATGAACAACGCAACACCTGGGGAATGCGCACCAGCAGATGCGTTGCCGGCCTTTTAGAAAGGTGTAAGCTTTCTTGAAGGTTCCTAAGTCGTATCGGTTCGGAAAATTCGCTGGTGGTAATTGGTTCCACAAAGAAGTTGTACGAGGGAGAAAACTTCTTCTAAATCACACAGTGGTGGACCGCCAATCACCGAGATGGTATGGATGGTAACGCGAGTTTTGTCGCGATGTACGATAGTGAAATCGAGCGGCTGGAATTAGTCCGAACAATTCCTCAGAGCACTCCCCGTGATAGATGCGATAAAATACGCAAAGAGATGAAACATCTCTACGCAGTGCCAGTGTATCGAGCCGATCGGAAAGAACTCGGTCGTCGACGATTCGAATCGCTCTGCGCTGGATGCGGTCAAGTGGAAGGAGCTGGCACTGGGGTGCCCCGGCCCAGAGATGAGAACACTATTCCATGTGGGGCCGAACTTGCGCTTTGTAAAGTTGCAAGCGAAGTGCCGGCATGAAATACTGTCTCGCTCTGCTGAGAACGCCAAGCTTTTTAGAGGCCAATTTGGCCTTCCCTTCCAAGTGACCACGAAACTGCACGCTATTCGATATGTCGACGCCAAGGATTCCGATACTGGCTGAGGCAGCAAGGGGAGTGCCTTGAAACTGAGGAGATACGACAAAGGGGTTCTTTTTAGCGGTAAACGCGCAAACTTGTGTCTTCTGGGGATTGAACTGGACTAGATTTAGTCGGCCCCAATCCGAGATTTTGTTAAGCAAAGACTCGACTTCAGACACAAGTTTGTCCCGGTACTCGGCGACGTTTTCCCGAGAAATATTGGCACGACCGGTATATAAGGCATCCCCAGTGCTATCGTCTCCATAGCAATGAATGCTACCAGTTAGCAACATATCATTGATATTGTAACGAACCCCCCCCCCCCATCTTTTTTCTTTTCTACTATATCCCACTTATACTTGTGTTTCTTTAGAATCTATATCTGTAAGATATATAAATACATCTAATTTACGTGACCAGTATAACTTGATCTTTCTAAAGGTTTAAATATAGGCCGTTTAATAAATTTATGGCGTGATCGTCTTTGTTAGGACCCTTTTTTTACGTTGTGATTGTATAGTAACTTAGTTCTTTTAGGTGTATCTTGGAAGAATGAATATTCACGAGAGCAATCGAAAACTGTTGGTAGAGTCTTATAAGCTAGAGAACCCCGTTCACGAAGACAGAGCTCAAAAAGGTTAAGAACAATAAATTGTCCCTATTCCACTTGTATCTGGTTCACAACAGTCAATTCCTTATTAATTAATCCCTTCCCGCTTGGAAAAGGCTCACAATATTTATATCAAATACCAGTTACAAGGGCTTCGCTCTCCCACATTTTAAAAAAAATGTGGAGGAGGTACACGGCCCCACACACGCCGCGCACGGTGAGCGCCAACCATTTTAATGCGCTCCCCCCGAAGGGTACGCAAAGTTGGGAACTGGACCGTAGTCCACAGCAAAATAACTGGCGAACCAGTAAAAGAGGACTTGGCCCCTTGATAGTGCGTAAGCACAAACATCGACCGAAGTCGCGCATGTCAATGCGTGTAAACGCCATACAGAATACGATCAAATCCAGCCACAGTGAAATGTACGTCACACGGGTTAGGCAACAATCGGCACACTGACCATAAAAAGCCCTCCGTGAGCGCCACCACCTGCCAGACCGCCGTTTCTGCAGATGTGATGTAAGTGTAAGGCATCACCACCAATTGCATGGTCAGCACGGCCAATTGGCCGCAGAGCGTGTCATGAGTCTACCGCTCACCTCAAGGGAATGGGGTCCCACGTTGCGCGGCTTTCGGCCGCAGCCTTGAGAGCCTCCTCAGATTCTCCCTCCAGCTACCACCCGCATGAGGTCGACACATATGCTCCACCAACCAATACAATGGCAGATATAGCCAATAGGCAGTTATAAGATAATATTAATAATTCGCCATCAGAAAGGGTTTGTGTCACTGACGTTGAGTATATGCATTTTTCGATCATGTTTGTCTCACCCACCAACAAGTTGCCTTCAATCTCTCAAAGGTGGGAACTTTATAGAGATATATTATTAAGTTGTTATATAAAACATCATGGAGGGCAGACAGTCTGCAGCCCCGCAATGAAGGGACCCGACTTGGGCAAAGTTACTTAGGTTGTGAGTCAAACCAAGACGCAGAGAGCGCCATTGAGAATAGCGACCCGCCAAACAACCATCGTAGAGACGCAATGCTACAGAATGCAACAAGCATCAATACGACTATCGTCGGGCTTACACCATCCCAAGGTCCCCCATACAGTCCCAGCAGACATCACCACCCGCATACCTCCATCGACCAGAACCACAAGATGCATCGAATCAGGTGCAGCACACCCGCAGATCCATCACAAGACACAATACTGCAAGTAGCAGTAAGCATCAATGCAACTATCATACGGATGGCGCCCCCTCACAACACACCCACATGATCCCTATCGACTTTGGTAACAAAATTTGATAATGTTGTTAACTAAAAATACCACTAACGTATCATAGTAGTACGGTACTAAGACGTCAGTAGCCAAAACTCCACGTATCATAGCGCTATTGCACTAAGACATGAAGTTGAGTATGCTTGCTGCACTTAAAAGTACTACCAAACACACTCACCCTAATCCGAAAGATAGCCGACGTATCATAACGCTATGCGCTAAGACGCCGCCCACAACCGGTAGGGGTGTGCGATGTCCACGGGCAAGTCGTATTGCTACAACAAACCCGCTTACCACCGGCACTAAGATGATATGTCTAGGACACATCGGTTAGTGAGTCCAAGTTTACCTCGGTCTCAGAGGCTGCGAAGCAACCTACACGCCACTATAATAATCCTTTTCAAGTCCCATTTCTTTCAATATAATGCTTTTACATATTTGAGACCTTCCACATATTTGCTTTATTTCATAGACCATACTACTGTATGTCTTATTCATATGGGACTTCAAGTCATAACTCTGCTATCATAATGCTTATGCATCATAGAGACCTTCTATATTAATGCTTTGGTTCGTCAGACCTTACTATGTTAAGTCCCTAATATAGGACTAGTCATTGTGCAACCTTAGTACTAGCAGTCGGTCAGCCGACCACCCCATATATATGTACAACCTTGGGTATGTGTCTCCGACAACGCCCCAATATAAGGGAACATTACAAGAACACGTTCATTAACTTAGAAATTTTCCAATTATTACACGAACACCTTCATCAACTTAGAAAATTTTAATCCATTTTTTCTATTATATTACAAATGTTATTTATCTTTGTTATTGCAATATAATCGCCTTGTATTTATATGATTTGATATATTTTAAACATTTTAAGCAGGTTTTTAATAAGTTTAGAGATTTTTTGAGACATTTTATGCGTTTACTAATATATATAATATTCAATATTCCAAATGGATATTTTTGAACTCTATGCTTATTATTTGCATTTTATTGTTTAAATTATAATTTCTATGACATTTTTAAATGTCTGTATAATGAATTTAATTATTATTTATTAATAATAATTATGAGGCGTCACAATCCACCCCCAAATTTTATGTTAATGATCCACATAGTGGAGTCGTTAATATAAAATTTTAGTATTTTGAGAGCATATTCACTACACTCAAATAATTGTTGATATATCTGTTCTTTCCTCTTTTAATCTGTTACAATACGGCATATGTTATCAAATCCCCCTGCCCCAGAGAATGGCCGCCACCAACACCGCTTCAACCACAATTATCACCATGTGATAACACCATAATTCAAGTTATTGTATATCGTGTTGTTAATAAAATTTGCAGTCAATTGTCGATTTCTTATTTTATTAATTTATCTTTAAATCTTTGAAACATTATTTCGATAGTATCACACTTTATGTGCATACAATCCAGTTGGATATTTGTTGAGGTCAGTTCGATACCACATAGGATAAATGTGTTTGAGCCATACGCCCTGACCCAACTCCTATATTTATTTAATAAAAATGATTACAAAATTATCTTGCGATCTATATTTACAACTCTTCATTATATATTAATAACGTTCTTCTATCATATAACAAATCTCTTGCTCATAACTTTAATAATTTTAGACCTTTAACTTAAACAATTATTTCCATGGGCCACCCACAAAACCCTTTTATGTTACAATATTTATTTAATTACTCTAATTTATACAAAAATAAATTATTATTTAAAATATTTTAATAAGTGAATAGCATTGAAAATTCCTCTAATTTCGTTTGTCTCTGGATTTGCTAAGGTATATACATTGTCAAATGGTACGGCTGCTATTACATAAGGTCCTTCATATGCCAAATTGAACTTACTCATAACTTTATTATCAGCGTCTGATCTACTAGATCTTAAAATTTTTACTAAGTCACCAATATTATATTTTATTAATCTATTTCGCTTATCAAATTTTGTGTTTCTTATTCGACTTGCCTCTTTTAAATTTTTACGCACTTGTTGTCTAATTTGTTCGACATTATGTTTGTCTTTACGTTTGGAAATTACTTTGTCAAAAGACATCTCATTAGACTCACCATAAAGAATCTCACAAGGCATGAAGCCTGTACTATTGTGATAAGAATTATTATACAATTCTTCTAATTTCGGCAATATTAACGCCCAATCTTTGTGGTTAGTATGACAAAGCGTCCTAAATAATCTGCTCAACTCTTTATTTACTCGCTCTGTTGTATTTGGTCTAGGATTTCTAACTGTGGTATATATTGGCTTTATATTTAATTCACTCATTGATTGTTTCCAGTGATTACTTACGAACTGTTTTCCATTATCTGTCATTATTGCCTTGGGCTTTATAATCTCAACAAAATGCTTTACTTTTGTTACAACAGACTTTGCTGTTGACTGTTTTAAAGGATATAATTTGATAAATTTACTGAATGAATCTTGAATGACAAATATGAAAGTGTACCCAAAGGTACCTGATACAAGTGGTCCATGACTATATCGCCAATGTTTTCTGTTATTATAGATTTGCAGGGACCCACATATGTTATATTACTTTTCTTAGATAACTGACATAAATGACAAGCCCTTAATTGGTTTTTAATATCTTTTGTTAAACCTTTCCAAAAGAATCTGTCTCTCACATATTTAATTACCTTATAGGGTCCTTGATGACCCATTTCGACATGCACTTGATTTATAATATCTTGTCTCAATGCTTTAGGTAAATATATTACTTCTTGTAAATTCGTTTTGTAATATAATACATCATTTTTCAAACTATACCTTTTAAATTTATTGTTTTGTTTTATTATGGAAGTATTTAATGTCTTTAACTTTTCAATAATAGCCAACGACTCTGAATCTTGTAATTGATATACTGATAAGGATTTTAATTTTTCTATCAACTCAATATTCGGTTCGCTCTCTGTGTAAGCAATTTCTAAACTATTATTTTTATCCTCTTGTATTAAATCGCCATCAGGAGGATAACGTGATAGCACATCTGCAACAATATTACGTCTACCCGATATATGCTGTACTTCATAATTAAATTGTTCTATATACAAAATCCATCGGGTTACTCTACCATTGAATAACTTCATATTATTAATAAACAATAATGCTTTATGATCAGTTAGTATTATTACTTTACTGCCCCTCAAATATGTTTCAAATTTCTTTAGGCAGCTTATTACAGCATAAAACTCTTGTTCAGTAACAGACCAATTTAATTCGGGGCCTTTTAAGGCTTTACTATGATAGCCTAAAATTCTCATTTCATTATTATCATCTATCTGATATAGTACTCCGGCCATACCCACACCGGAACAATCTGTTTGTAAATAATACGGCTTATTAAAAGTCTGGATGATGCAATTGTATTGTATTAATAAATTGTTGTTTTATAAAATCAAATGCCTTCTGTTCTTTACCGCTCCATTGGAACTTTCGTCCCTTTTTAAGTAATTCACAGAGCGGTATTATGCTCTCGCTGTAATTTGGTATAAACCTTCTATAAAAATTGCATAGACCTAAAAAGGCCCTTAATTGTTTAATCTTTTTAGGTGCTGGAAACTCTTGGATCGCTCGAATCTTATCGGGATCTGTCTTTATGCCTTCTGTTGAAATTATAAAACCCAGCATTTTAATTTCTTTACAAATAAATTCACATTTCTGCAAGTTACACGTTAAGCCAGCTTTGTTCAATTTACTTAAAACAATATCAATGTGCTCCAAATGTTTATCTAACGTTCCTGTTGTAATAATGGCTAGATCATCTAAATAGTTCACACAAAATTCTTGGACTTCTGGTCCTAATATTAAATTCATGGCTCTGCTAAAGCTTCCTACTGATGTTTTTAATCCTTGCGGCAAAACATTATATACATATGACTTTCCATTGAATGTGAATCCAGTATATTTTCTACCATCTTTATTTATCGGAATTTGAAAATATGCATTATTTAAGTCAATGGTAGTGATATAATTCGTTCCGTGAAATGAATTCAAAACATCTAATTGTATAGGTGGTTTCTCTGTTTCTGCAACCATTTTCTTATTTATGCTTCTGGCATCAAGCAGAACTCTAATTGAGCCGTCTTTTTTAAGAGTGAATGTCAATGGACTACTGTAAGGCGTTGATGTCCTTGTGATGATACCAGCTTGTTCCATTTCATTTAACTTTTCTTCCATTTTCGCTCTATATGCATATGGAATGGGATAGGACCTAGTAACTATAGGTTCATCATCGATCATTTCAATTTTATGCTCATAGCAATTGGCTCTTCCCAATTTGCTCGAAAACATATTCTTATGCTTTTCCAAAACCTTACTAAGTTTTGCCCTTTCAGAGACCTCCAATGTAGATCCTATTTTTATATTTATTAAGGGATCATCGGTACATTGTTTGATGCAGTTATTATGTAATACAGATTTATTATTATATTTGAAAGGTATAAAGTAGTCTTTGTTTTTCACTTTAAATTCTATTCCAACAGTAGTATTTCTCTAATCAATCAATATTTTATTTCTCTTGAGCCAGTCAAAGCCTAATATTAAAGGTCTTATTAAATTACCTACAATTAAAGTTTGTGTTTCAAAGACTACTTCATCTATCTTTATAGGCAATATGATCATCTGTTGTATTTTTGTGCTGCGCTGCCCAACAGCACCTTTTATTTGCATTGCTTTAACTGGCATTATTGATATTTTACGATTATTTTCTTTAATTTGTAAATATAAACTTTCTGAAATGCATGTAACATCGCTCCCAGTGTCGAGGAGCGCGTCTATTTCTTTGTCAAATATTGAAACTTTAATTGCAGATCTCATATTCCCTATAAATTCCCTTTGATATTTATCTTCGTCTTCCTCGAAGACGGTTTGCACGAATAACTCCGTTATGGGCAAGTCCGACCTGGCTTTTAAGGTGTTTAATATGCTATTTACATTGTCGTTATAACCAAGGCCTTCTCTGTTAAAATTTGCTTTTAAAGTAATAGGTTTTCGCAACCCTCTATTGTTTTTACCCAATGTTTGACCAGGTCGCCAACCCAGTTTCAATAACATATTTAATGCTTTGTTCCCTTTTACATTGTAAGGGGGTCGAATCGGGAACTAGTTCGACCTCTACAGCTCTAAATTTGGCTCAGGGGCCGTAACATCAGGTTGGTCATTAGTGAAATGTATTTCATGTACTTCATTAACCTTCTTTTTTCCCTCTTCGGGTTTACGCCATGTTTTGTATGATTGTTGTATTTCTTTATGTTTTTGCTCCGTATTATTATTAAACTTCCTCCTTTTCTCATTATAGTAAGGTTCACGACCTTCATCTTGTTTGTCGATGTCATCTAAGTTTCTTAAGAAATCTGGCGTGTCTATTATTGTCTCAATTTTACCTATTCTCCATAATTGCTGCACAGTTTTAGGATAATGTCTGATGACATCAGTTACTAATTGTTTTTCAGGTATCGGATATGATAATGTTTGTGCCTTCTCAACAACATAAAGAAAATAACTAACCATGGTGGGGTGTGTACTTCTATTCCATTTATTTTGCACAAGGAATCTCTTTACTTTATTTTGTTCTTCTTCACCCCAAAACACTCTTAGGAAGTCAGCTTTAAAATCATCAAAAGTTGTCCAACGCAGATTATTAATGCGAGCCCAATACTTGGCTTTACCTACTAAGCACTCTTGTGCTATCGAAATTTCGAGACCATTAGATGGAACTTTCTTTAAATAATTGGTGAGATCTTCCAAAAATGATACTGGATGAGTATTTCCATTTCCAAATTTCGGCTTTTCTATTGTTACATTATGTACATTATATACAATATTTTGTCTAGGATCATTTACATGAGAGGTGCTCGCCCCGGACACCTCTCCTTGATTTATTTTAATTTGGTAATCTTTCGTTTGGTTAATAAATTTTTCCTCAAGATCCTTTATTTTAACCTCAAAGGTTTTCACTGCAATCTTAATTAATTTCTGAAGCATTTTCATCTCATCTTTAGACTTAGCCTTAATTGAGGTTGATTTTTTCTTATTTTTAGCCATTTTTAATTTTTATTACCACTTTTTTTTTTTTTACACCTGTTGTGTCTTTCACTTAGTTTAATTGAGTCTTTCCACTTATTTCACTTTATAATATATAGTATTGCAGTGTTTTTTTTTTTTTTTTGTACACCTGTTGTGTCCTTCACTTAGTCTAATTGAGTCTTTCCACTTATTTCACTTTTTATTATTTCGCTCCGTTATGCACACACCTCCTATATTATTACTCCATTTTAATATTTAAGCCCCACCCCCAGACTCTCCACCACCCCCAGCAAACACCACTCTCCAAGACACCTCTCCATTTCACGGACAACAAATTGTAGGCATATAGCCTACCTAATAATTTTATATTACCTTTAAAATTTAACCTCTATCCTGGTCACGGCACCAAATTGTAACGAACCCCCCCCCCCATCTTTTTTCTTTTCTACTATATCCCACTTATAATTGTATTTCTTTAGAATCTATATCTGTAAGATATATAAATACATCTAATTTACGTGACCAGTATAACTTGATCTTTCTAAAGGTTTAAATATAGGCCGTTTAATAAATTTATGGCGTGATCGTCTTAGTTAGGACCCTTTTATTACGTTGTGATTGTATAGTAACTTAGTTCTTTTAGGTGTATCTTGGAAGAATGAATATTCACGAGAGCAATCGAAAACTGTTGGTAGAGTCTTATAAGCTAGAGAACCCCGTTCACGAAGACAGAGCTCAAAAAGGTTAAGAACAATAAATTGTCCCTATTCCACTTGTATCTGGTTCACAACAGTCAATTCCTTATTAATTAATCCCTTCCCGCTTGGAAAAGGCTCACAATATTTATATCAAATACCAGTTACAAGGGCTTCGCTCTCCCACATTTTAAAAAAAATGTGGAGGAGGTACACGGCCCCACACACGCCGCGCACGGTGAGCGCCAACCATTTTAATGCGCTCCCCCCGAAGGGTACGCAAAGTTGGGAACTGGACCGTAGTCCACAGCAAAATAACTGGCGAACCAGTAAAAGAGGACTTGGCCCCTTGATAGTGCGTAAGCACAAACATCGACCGAAGTCGCGCATGTCAATGCGTGTAAACGCCATACAGAATACGATCAAATCCAGCCACAGTGAAATGTACGTCACACGGGTTAGGCAACAATCGGCACACTGACCATAAAAAGCCCTCCGTGAGCGCCACCACCTGCCAGACCGCCGTTTCTGCAGATGTGATGTAAGTGTAAGGCATCACCACCAATTGCATGGTCAGCACGGCCAATTGGCCGCAGAGCGTGTCATGAGTCTACCGCTCACCTCAAGGGAATGGGGTCCCACGTTGCGCGGCTTTCGGCCGCAGCCTTGAGAGCCTCCTCAGATTCTCCCTCCAGCTACCACCCGCATGAGGTCGACACATATGCTCCACCAACCAATACAATGGCAGATATAGCCAATAGGCAGTTATAAGATAATATTAATAATTCGCCATCAGAAAGGGTTTGTGTCACTGACGTTGAGTATATGCATTTTTCGATCATGTTTGTCTCACCCACCAACAAGTTGCCTTCAATCTCTCAAAGGTGGGAACTTTATAGAGATATATTATTAAGTTGTTATATAAAACATCATGGAGGGCAGACAGTCTGCAGCCCCGCAATGAAGGGACCCGACTTGGGCAAAGTTACTTAGGTTGTGAGTCAAACCAAGACGCAGAGAGCGCCATTGAGAATAGCGACCCGCCAAACAACCATCGTAGAGACGCAATGCTACAGAATGCAACAAGCATCAATACGACTATCGTCGGGCTTACACCATCCCAAGGTCCCCCATACAGTCCCAGCAGACATCACCACCCGCATACCTCCATCGACCAGAACCACAAGATGCATCGAATCAGGTGCAGCACACCCGCAGATCCATCACAAGACACAATACTGCAAGTAGCAGTAAGCATCAATGCAACTATCATACGGATGGCGCCCCCTCACAACACACCCACATGATCCCTATCGACTTTGGTAACAAAATTTGATAATGTTGTTAACTAAAAATACCACTAACGTATCATAGTAGTACGGTACTAAGACGTCAGTAGCCAAAACTCCACGTATCATAGCGCTATTGCACTAAGACATGAAGTTGAGTATGCTTGCTGCACTTAAAAGTACTACCAAACACACTCACCCTAATCCGAAAGATAGCCGACGTATCATAACGCTATGCGCTAAGACGCCGCCCACAACCGGTAGGGGTGTGCGATGTCCACGGGCAAGTCG